ATGTGACATTGACAAGTGGGAAATGAACCACTATTGGGGCCTTGGGATTCTCCTCATCCTCGAAGATGTAGACCTCCTTCTGAGGCTCCTTTTCCAGACTGGCAAAATCCGCACTGGGAAAGGGGATGTCATGGTCTTTACAGTAAGCAGCTGTCTTCTCTATCACCTGTGATCATACAGAGTAATATTTATAATGATGGAATACATTAATTTCTTTCCCAGATGAGCTACTCCTTCTGTTTACATTGAGGATGTGATCTGGGTCCCATGAGTAACTCAGACATATGATGACATCAACATCTCTCTCTGGTCGCAGGACAGGCACACACCCAATGTTGATGGCATGACCAGAATCAACCAGGCACAGAGTAGGGTCATTGGGTGTTAGCTGATTTGGGAAGGCATCTGGATGTGCGGCTGGACAGAAAACAGAGAAGACAATTAATTAATCATGAGCAGGGTGAGACACTGACAATGTATAAGAATCCAAAATCCCTGGTCTGCAGGAGCAGGAGAATAAAATACTGCTGCCCAATTGCTTGTGCTTAAACAAAAGAGATGTGATAATGGATTTTAAGGCCTACCTTTCCAAGCATTAAAATTGCTGTGTTTATTGTATTCCCTGTGCAGGAGGAGACCCCGCATAAAATTATACATTTCAGCAATGACTGGACGATCCTTGAAGAAATTAGTCAACATGTTTGCGATCGTTGGGTTTAAGATGCTTGTGTCCAGAGTTGAAGGTTCAAAGTCAACCTCTGCAAAAAGAGCAAAACATCTTAGTGATAGCCTACACACACTGCATTAAGCATGTTCTGTGGTAAATATGGGAGTGTCACTTCTTTAATGGACTGTAGTTGTAATTATTCAGTGTAAGAAAACAGATAAATAGAGATAGACAGGATAAACAGAACTAAGGTTTAAGATGCTAGGTGGGTGTTCCAATGGCAGAGGTGTGTCCAGGCATGGCCATGCCAGTTTTTCCATAGGCAAAATTTAGCTTAACTTTGGAGTGTTAGTAAGCCCCCTTTCCAACTTGCTATCACGACACGGTTGGTATCAGTGGATGCGTTAGGTCATCTACTTCATATGATACCAGTATCTTCACTCTAGCTTTAAAACCGAGCCACCTGCAGCCTTTGAAAGACTATGGTGGCCAATCAGATTTCAGGCCCCCTTTGTGGAAGCGCCCCTGCTTAGAAAGTGGAAGCTGAGTTGCTGAGTTGGAAAATTATTTATATTGATTTCATAAATGAATATAATTTCAGTTTGACTTTAAAATACTGTTATATTGTGTATATAGTGACACTTGCATCGAAGCCTGTCACACTAAAACTAAATGATTGTAATGACTTTTATTTTATATTGTTTAAAGTCGGATTGTGCCATATGCAAAATAAAGTAACTCTACCTATGCTGCTGACATCTGGCTCCAGGAAAGGGTTCCAAGGGGGTGGGTATCCCATAGCAATCTTCCACAGCTGGGTCAGGTTAAAAGAAAAGGCACTGCTCCATATTCCTGATAAAGTTGACAAATACAACAAAACACTGGATTGGCTTAAAGTTTGTATATTAGTACTGTGCATTGCGTTGAAACAAAATCAGTGGTCTTACCCATCAGATAAGGGATGCGGACTTCTGGCAGTTTCTTGACCATATGACCAAGGAAGAACTCACTCCCAAAGTCCTCAGTTCGCACAAAAGCCCCATACTTCTGGATGCCTACTTCATAGGGGGTAAACTCACACCACTCTGTCAACAAGAGTAATTATTAGTAAATCAAAATCAATCACTCCATGATCACAATTTCCATTTCTAGTGAGGGTTCATTAAGGGCAGTGCTGTTCTGGACCTTTTGGTTCTCTATGTCATATATCTACTAGTACCCCTATCTCTCTATAGGCAAATAATTTAATGATATTGTAATTATAACTTAAATGTATTCATTCAATTTCTGGTCAGTGTCATGTCATCAACAACATATTTACTGTTCATACAGACTAGTCCCTTTGCCTTAAACAGTCACAGTTTCGAACGAATAGCTAGAACCAATATCGAAGTGTGAGTGTGAATTTCTCAGTCAGGTACAGGCCTACTGTAAATGCCCTACTTCAGCAATAATAAAGACATAACTCAAAACAAATGCCTCAATATTTACCAGCTTCAGATTCACAGCCATCTTTCATATTGACAGCAGTGTATATGGGTAATGGGTTTTGGCCTTCATTCACTGCTCCCTGCTGCCCAGACAGGGTACTGGTGACTTTCTGCAATTCCAACCACATATAATAAATGTTATTTGAACATTGATGTAGTCTTTTAAGCTTTTAAAGTAATATATCAATTAAAGTGATAACAGACAGTGTTCGGCTGCTTACTTTCCCAAAGACCAGATGCTCAAGGATTAGGCCTGCCATATCAATAAGTGACACAATGTAACCCTCGTTTCCTTTCTCTGCCATTTCTTCACTGTAATACTGCAGTTTCTCAGGAGAGAAGACACTCAGGACGCTCTTCGTCATCTGGTCCTTTGCTGCTGAGATGATACTGTCTATGTCCTGTGACCATTTAGCTTCCTGATACAGAGTAGACATAGCCCTGTTCACATGGGAAATGAGAGTAGCATTTTAAAGGATAAAAAAATAATTTGATACAATATATATAATCAGGCAATAACAAGTTAGATGGATGATATGCAAGAAGCAAGCCAGTAAACTCTGATTTAAGGTGTCAATTCTCATGATCTCAGCAACCAGTGAGTATTAATAAAAGGTAAGGTACACATTATAGCATATTTATACATTACTACACTAACCAATACAAACATCATAAAGTTGGTAATCATGCTAAATTCTGCTGGAATAGTACTGAATATGAAAGAATAGAAAAGAAAAAACGGTCTTACTTTCGTATTATATCGATTATTGATCAATAATTTGGAGGATTTGGGGGATTACTTTTGTTTGACATCAATCCCACAGATGAGAAGGGTGATATCAGTGAAACTGTGAGCCCTTACTCTCAGCTTGTTCACTCACCATGTGGATCCAGAAACACCAGTGATGTAACTGGTAGCATCCAGGACCCCTATTTCCTGTAGGCCTCTCAGACTACCAAGCATGCCTGTCATTGCTCTGGCTCCTCCCCCTGAAGCCACTACTGCTATAGTTGGCACCTGGAAAAGGGATGCAGAGAATACGTATGGCAAGACTTTTTCAAAAAGTACTTGCTGGATTTACCATACTCCTTGTGTTCTGGCTTGCAAAGGTCAATTAAAACGAAGGTTTTCCTTGCCACTGTCGCCATGTGCTTGCTCATGGTGGAATAGACCTGCTCTATTTGAAAAGGGTCCTGAGATAACTTCTGCATGATTATGAGTTTGTAGTATACAAATAAAATGTAATTGATTGGTCCGGTGCCACTGTACCAGCAACAAGTGCATAGATTGAAGGCCTGCAAGATGGATTCTTGCTTTATCTCGTTATTTTGTGACGTGAAATAGCAAGGATCCAGCATTTGCATTCCATGCCACAGAACCATCCTACAGTAACAACTACAAAATTTGTTGCGGGGAAAGACAAAAATATAATAATGAATTCATAATCTGAAAAGAGCCACACTGTACCTTGCTGGATTCAAGTAGAGAGCTGATGCCTAAAAGCTCCTGCAAAGCCTGTTCCACAACAAATTCCCTCTTTTTCAGATACTCTTTCTCTTGTGCTGGGATGTCAAAGTTCAGGCGAACCGCGAGATGTTCCTCCTTGCTGTGGATTTGCAAGGTTGTTGGACATTCCATTGACTTTATTCACTGTGGACAGACAAACCCAATCCCGGCCCTTACCCTAACCAGGACCTCAGAAATTATGTTTTGCCACATTTCGACTGGTCTTTGGTCCCATACACACTCACACATATATGTACACATAAATGGATACTCATATTGCCTTAAGGCTAGTTATGTAGGAAGCATCTTACCATTCATGTGTTTCCAGGTCTAAATCCACCGTGTCCTGTAATAGGAAAATGCAACATTACTATAAAACATAATTCCTTTAAGTCACCGCCCTGCCATTGTTAATCCGTACTAAAAACCACCCATTGAACCTCGTTGAAATGCTGCGGATCACATGCCTGTGGTGTCCACAGAGGCTGCCAGCCCTATTGTTCTAAATTGAGTTTACCTCTGATAAATACAATAAAGTAAAAGCCTTGTTAACATATTAATAAATTCTGTCCACAGAAATGTGAGAGCTTTTAATCTGAAACAGATATAGGAGGTGTTAAAATAAATATATTATATTTTTTCACGTCTGCAACAGACATCTACATTTACTGATGTAGACATTGAATCTGTAGTGAAAGCTGTATATGTTGCTGGTATAATGTCAATATGACTGTGAACAGATCATTTTCACTGTCTTATTTTGCTGGGAACCGCATGTGGCTCACGTAAAAAATCCTCTACTCTCTAGTAAAGTGTCACCTGAGAAGCAGGGCTCACAAGGGCAGTGTGGCTGCTCTAACCTATTAACATGGGTGGCGAAATAAAAAGCAACACACATGCACTGCAATTGTTTTAATTTATTATTATTTTAACTTCCTCATCAATCTAAGGGTTGAATTATCCAGTGAATAGCAGTCAGTGAACACTGTACTGAACACTGATTATGTGACCAACAACAAACTATTGTATATTACTATACAATTTTTGCTTCCTTTTTACCATATGAGGATGATGATGATCAGGGACGGCTGGTATATATAGGCTAACAGGTCTAAGCCCTCCCTATCTTTTACAG